ATTTTTAGATTAAATCATGGTAATAATCACGATGTAAAAGTGTCGATACATTGCAACATTCTCTATTTATATCTATTTTATTTATATGCTCATTTATCGAAATAATATAAAAACGTACGTTTCAAATAATCTTGTCACTGCGATTCTCTGAACGTGTAAACGTTACGTCAAATGTTAAACGAGGGAAAAATCTGGAAAATGGAAAGTTTATTTAGCAGATTCTTCTCTATCTCGACAGAGATTCCGATTTCTAAATTTCTAATGATCTAGATTCAAAGATATAGAGGAGAAAGGAAATTTGAATATTTTTTTAAAGAATATTTTTTGAAAAAATTTGAGAGGTTTTGAAAATTCAGTAGGTTAAAAAATTTAATAAAAATATAAAAAGTTAATGTTTAAATAATAAATTCTAAATTTACTTTTACACACGTCTTAATTTCTGAATCTCTACTACCATCCCACTTTTTTCATTGACTGCGATCTAACAAGTTTAACATATACGATAATCGCACGTTTTCTTGTTACGTTTAATTGATGATAAGAATTCATTCCATCGCACGATAGGAATAATTTCCAACAACACTTTCACGTTCAATAATTCTCTTCAATAAATTCAATAATAAAATCTTTAACGATATTTCGAGATCTTCGAATATCAATTATACGTAGAATAACAAATATAAAACATCGTTTCGTGATGTAAATAAGAGCAAAAAAAAAAAAAATCAAAATTACGAAACGTTCCTTGAAAAATGACGCGATCGTACGTGCATCAATCGCTGCATAATAGGAAATAATCGCGGTGACAATCTCGCTCTTTTTCTATCTTTATCTCTTTCTATCACCAACGCAAACACCGATATATCATCACAGCTCAACAAACAAGTGATGTTTTATCAGTCACAAAAATTTTTATGCGCTATAAAGAAATTCAATTATTATGAAAAATTTAATTTTAAACTTATATAAAGCAATATATTAAAAAGTTATGTGTACGTAGAATAATTTATTTTTCGACAAAAAAAAATTTTAAATCAACTTTTTTGATTTTTTCATGTTTCGTATACAATTTCCCTTAGAAATATTTATCTTTGCTATCCGATGATAGAACATTAAAAGGATTTTATAATTATTTAAAATTTTGCTTCACTCTCGAATTATTATGAAATGAAATTATGAAATTATCTAAAGAAACAAAAATATTGAAGATATGCCACGATCATCTTATTAATAATTGTCAAAATAAAAAAAAAAAGCGAATTACCTTCACTTATATATCCGTTTAATAATTTTCGTTGCGCGATTCTTTGTCGCGACTAGGAAACAACGTTAAGGAACGATCCGAGAATCTTCTCGTGGGAGAAGAGCGTGGAAGACGAACTCGGAAGAGCGTGGATCGCGGGCGGACTTTCACGAACGAATCACCATTTTACGTAAGAGGTTGTGCGCCAAATGCATTACAGGATACCGATTTCTCATTTCCGCTTTCCCGTTTCCTGGACCGCGCGTTGAATTAAATTAAGGATTTATTAGCCTCGACCGAGCTAAACGACCAGCGACGAAAGTCGTTGATTAGAACCGCTCTTAAGTACGTGTACGCATTCAAAATAAATTTTTGAAAGATTTTTTCTTTTATTTATAAATTGCTGATTTTAACTTGGTTATTATTTTTTTTAATGCCTCGCTCAAACAGATGACAAACATTTGTTTTAGAAATTCTTTTTCGTAAAAATTGTCTCGAAATTGTTTCTGATTTTTCTTTGTTAAATTATATCTTAATCGTTTCAAAAATTATTCTAAAGTCTGATACACACTTGAATATATTGTCACCTTTTTCTGGAAGATGTTTCTTGATGACTTTAGGATAGTTGTTAAGCCTGACACACACTTGGAAATTTGAAAAAATATTTGTAAAGTTTACTGCACACTTTGAAACCATTTTTTTTCTTTTTTTTAAATGAATAGGTTATTTGTAAAATTCAAATAAACGCAATGTATTCATTCAGACTCTTCCGCTCTTTACTTTCACCGATCCAGTTGAAATTTGCGTCCGTAAAAAATTGATATCCTCCATCTAAAACGTAACAATGCTGAAGCAACAACAATACTGAATTTAAAAGTCAGTAGACAGTCAGTAGCAGTCTTTGCTATCTCCGTGATCGTGAAATCGTTCCTCCTCCCATTATTCCATCTCGTTCTACAATCTCGCGGTTCATAAATCTTGATTCACCCGAGATTTCGCTAATAAAACCCAGATCATTTTTGAAGGAATTTTAGAAGACAATACGAGATTCAATGAACCGGATGAATCGTTCTCAACGAACCAAGATTTTTAAATTCTTTGGCAATACGATTAATGCAGTGAAAGGATTGATCCATGCCTTATTTTCAATTTAAATCGTGATGTAAGTGCTCGTAGAAAAGCAGGAAGAGGACACCATATAGGGAAAAATATATTTTTATATTCTCGATTTCTTTTTCTCTCTTTGAACGAATCGTATATATAGAATCATTTCCAAACAATTATCCATTCTTACAAAGAAATAAATATTCAAATTCAAGGTTTGATAATTAAAAAAGAAAAAATTCGTGCGAATATAGTAATATTTTTATCGTAAAAATACTCAAACTCACGCTTTTGCTCTTCCCTTACCAAAAATACAAAAATTTTTTTAATTTAAAAAAATAAAAAAAAAATCGTTTATCATAGAAATATACAAAACAAAATTACACTTCGTTCGTACTCGTTTCCAAGGATTAAATTTCTTCCCACGAAAGAAGGAATTATAATAATCCGTCTTTCCTGAACGAAAAGATCCCACTACTCTCCATACGATATTCGTTTTACACCGCGCGAAATACCGCGAGAGAGGGCGGGAAAATTGGAAGAGGGACGAGAAGAGAAGTTGGGCGAGTTTCACGAATTCCCCGTGAGACGCATCGAGGGGGAAAAGTGGGCAGTGAAAGTCGGCCCGTGGCCGTATTGCACGAGGCGATCGGTCGGTTCATTTGTATTTTCGATTCGAGCCGGTTACGAGCAACCGGGGAATATTTTACAACGGATAATATAATAAAAGAAAGCGTTCATCAGTCGGCGGAGAACGCGCAACGTTTTGAGAAGCTTTCTTGAGAAGCCGTCGCCACTTTTTCCCAACGTTTTTTTTCTCTATCTCGCGCAGTGCAAAATGTTTCTGAATTTGAGAAATTCGTGCGAATGCGAATTTTGAAGGAGCTTACTCCTCGGAACCTGTCCAACTCTCTCGTTTCGTCGGGGAATTATTTTTAGAATTTACGGTTGTGCAATGCCGAGAGTTTCTAAACAATTCTCCCATTTCATTTTATGGATTTATTTGTTAAACACCGGTAAAATATCAAATGGCTAGGCGTTTGTACATTTTGCACACGCGTATCGAATTATATTTTTTTTTAATAATCACTTAAGAACCCCATTCAAAAAGTTAATAATATATTTATTACAGATTTTATCGTCGCATGAGATCGATTAAATTATGTTTTTTCTTTTTTTTCCATTTGTTCATTTTTATAGCAGCAATTATTCAATCTTTTTACTTTTAAGTGATAATTAATTAAAATGGAATGAAAAAAAAATATTAACAAATCTCGTGTCGTGTGGTTATATTATAGAGAGGAGAGAGAAAAAAAAAAAAAGAAAAAATCGAAGAAAAATTATTACAAAATCTTCTTTTTCTCCATTTCTCTCGTAACGTGATCGCCATCGTAGCGTAATTTCGAAGAGAACTAGTTGGAGATCTCTTGTTTCCTTATGACACAAAGCCAAACAAGCAAAGAACCGGATTCGTGGCGTGCGTAACGTGCGTAATTGATAATTGATCGTTCACGCGTAATACTTTGCGAGCAATTAGAAAGCAACACGTATGAAGTCCCTTTACAACACGATTATATTAATAATAACAACCGGAAGTATGAATTGCTTGCTAGCTTCAATTTTACGATAGCTTTCGTTTTTCGTTTATTAATATTTATATATTCACATTGACACGTGGTCGTTTATCACGCTATTCTTTTTCCTCTTTCTTATCGATTTTTTTTATTTAAATTTATTTATCGTGTTATTAATTAAATCAAATTTAGTTTAATCTAAGTAAGCAGGTAAACTTTTCTATTTTTTTTTTTTTGAGTTTTCAGAAAGTTTGAAAAGAAAGTTCGATCTACTCAACACAATCTAACCTGATTTTTTGTTCATTATTTGTAAGAGATCGCACATTTTATTTTTTATGTTTCGAAAAATTTCCGTTTTGAAGATTTCAAGATAATTTAAAGATCGATTTAAAATTCCAAGATAAATGAGAAAGTCAAAAGAATGTTAATAGTGATCAAATTTTATAGGTTATGTTTGTTTCTTTTTCGTTTTAGAACACAAATAAATGATATCTATTCCACGTATTACTATTTATGTAAAATATTCTGTTTTAAAGGTTTCAAGATAATTTGAAGATACATTTGCAAAAATGAAGATCCAAAATTCAAGATTCCAAGATAAAGTATAACGAGAAAGTCTCAAGAGAACGTGATAGCGACCAATTTTATAGGTTATGCGAACCCTTGATCGAAACTGTACATTCGAGCACCGTGTATTTTGAAAAGAAACATTTACTCATAAAGATCAAATAACAGTTAAATCTTACTTATATCGCTTCGTTAAAACGTTTTAGACGTTTACTTTACCATTTATCAGTTTTATTTTGCACATAATTTATTTCGTATAATGAATATTTTGCTCGTTGATAACCGAGAAATTATCACAATTAATTTGGAAGAAAAAAGAGGAGAAAATTTTATTTTTTATAGATAGAATCCTTTACTTATTTATCAAATCACTTCATTTCACGAAATACAAGCAATATACGTAGCAACGAAATGGAAAAAAAGAAGAACGAAGAATTTCACGCGTCGGACAATGCCTGTTACTATACACACACGTGCGCGCGCACATTGTACAAAATCATGTAATCGAACCGTGTGTAATCGATGCCAAGAAACATCGATCAAATCGAGAAACAAGATGGACGTCGTTCCACGAGCGATACTTGACCACGTTTGATGGCTTTGGTCGTTACGTACTTTGCCGTGTTTCCAGACCAGTGGCTCGATCCCACGTTCGACAACAGATTCATAACGCGCGATTTAATATTTACAGTTAATTACACCACCGGGTGGCCATCTCAGAAAAAGGGATCGTTCTTCGTTCTTTCGAAGAGAAGTTTCTCGATCCATTCCAAAAAAGATCGGATTGATTTTTGAAAATGTTGAGTTTCGAGATTTTTTTTGATGATGAGAAAAAAACGATTGTTCGATTTTTTAGCTTTTTTAAAGAATTTGTTTTTTAAACACGGTTAAACGTTTCGAAACGAATTCCACGAACACGTTACACGCCTCAATACGAGATGAATTTTATTAATATTTTATTGACCGAATTATAAAACTTTTGTAAAATAATTGACGAGAACGATCGATAAGAAATATACGAGAGATCAATGATACTCTTTTCTTCAGTGTCAAAGTGAATCGTACAGGATGGTATAATAAAAATAAAAATAGTAAAAATTGCTCGATACTAAAGAATTATATTGATTTTTTTCTTTTTATAGATGGAGTTACGTAGGAGAGATCATCTTTACCTTTCTTATATAAACATATTCTATAAATATTCCTGTTTTACTGTTTATTAGTTAATAATAGCTTTCGAAACACATGTTCATAAAGATCATCATATGTTCATAAAGATCAACAAAGATCAATTACATAAATGCAAATTTTTCTTTCTTTTTTTTTTTTTTTAAGTATGTCTATTCTGAAATATTAATCATATAAGTATAATCATGTAAGTAATACATCTTGTTTTTATGAATATTCATTTTATCACGGATCGAAGTATACACTCGTGAATACCTTATTTATTATTATGTTACAACAGCATGTCAACATTTTTACGACAAACAGTTTGAAACGAAGAGAAACGTGTATCGAACAACTTTCTTTCTTTTACTCGAAATTCGTAGGCAGTCCCATCATAGATAGTGATGCTAAACGTGATGATGGTCACGTACCGCTTGCAGATATTTCACAACACGAATAAATTCTCTTCTAAAAACGTGCTAATCCTACGTGGATTAATTTCTTAATACCGTTCCAAATGAAAAATCTATTTCCTTTATCCCCATTCTCTATCCAAATATCGATCATTATATTTCGTTAACATTCTAATTAATTGGCACAAACAAATAAGGAAGGACAATCGCACAATTCCCAAAAATCTTAAACAATTCAACAACATCCCATTTCATCTTCAATTTCCTTTCAATTTCCATCTCTTAATAAAATAAAAACAGAAACAGCATCGTACGATCCCACAATCCTCTCTCCCCTCCAAAAATCTCCAAAAACTCTAAAAATCGCTCCTTTCTATTCCTAAATTCCTTCTTTCACAAAGAACAAACCAATCCTCCCCCCCCCAAAAATGCCTCAAAAAATTCCTAACCTCCCCTCCCTTCCGAAAATAAGACAAAACAAAATTATACAATTCAAGTGCAAAATCGAGCGCATAAAACATCCTCTTCCTCGGTCGAAAAAGAAGGAAGAAGCGGCCAGGAACTGGACAATGTGACGCGCAACGCCGGTGTGCAAGCACCAGTTGTTACCACATTGTCAGGGGGGATATAGTATCGTGATAGGTAACCACAGGAAGAGAATACTTTCACTGCCAAACGTACGGTTGGGAGCTTTGGAGAAGGACGAGAAAACACTGGAGGCATCGACGACTGTTAGGCCAGACGGATAAGGACGGTGAGAGTGAAACGAGTTAGGCACACAGCCTGGCCACGCGACTATTCTCTCTATCGTTTTTTCCCCGACTTCCCTCTTTCGTTGAACGAAACCACGGTGAACCACGGCGTTCGAAAATCGATTCTCTTTTGTGTTCCATTTCGAAGAAACTGGAGGAAAGTAGTTCAGGTTCCAATCGTTTGGAATTTTGGTTATCGATCGATCGATTTTTGAAGGAGGAAGAGAAGAGAGAGAATCGATCGAGAGATTTTTTTGGGAAATGGGAAGGAAATTTGTGCGAAGATCGAGGTAAGAGTTTAAAATTGTGTTATTTTTTATTTTACATAAAGAAGGGTTGATTTGGGGGATGGAAGAATTTTGGAAAGATTTCATCGTGACGAGAGAGAGTGGAAAATGTTTTTATCGTGAACAATGTGAATATTTTATCGAGAGTGGAAGAATCGAAATCGATGTATTTCGACTATGATGGTATAAAGTTGTTCAACAAATTTCTTTTTTTAGAATTTTTGAAAATTTTGATAAGACAAAATTCTGTGTATTGGATGATAACGGGGGAATTATTTCTGCTGACGCGATGAGAATTATTATCCGATAGATCTGGAGGAAATTCAATGGGAGCAAAGGATCGTGATGACACTGATATCACTGATAAAGAGGTTTTTAAAGTCACGTGTAGTAGTAAGTTCTTCGTGATGAAGATTTTGGCATATTAAAATCTACGAACGATTTATGTAATTAGAATTTATCGTTATCTAACGATTGTCACCTAGAATTTATACGTGAAATATTTATAAATGCGTGTGCTTTAACCAAGAAAAAGAAAACTGTTAAATTATCCAAGAAACATGTCATAAATTATGATCGATTAAATCGATTTTCAATTTTTAAACTTTAAAGCATCAAGTATTAGAATGAATGAATTAAATATTGAAGAATGATAATAGATTTATATGTAAATGTGAAACATTAAAAATATTCACATTTTTCATTAGAAAAATTAAAAATTATACGAACGAAAATATAGATACATAGAATTTCAAACATAATTTTCAAAAATAATTTTAAATATAAATTATTTTTGTAATTCGTAAATTTATAGAATAACATATAAGTATTACGTTTGGTTTTTTCGTTTGAAATATTTCAGATTTTCGATTTCAAAATATATTACGCAGCTTATGCAACGAAATTCATGCAAAATTAGATCCGCTTTCCTAGATTCTTTTTTCTCCTAATATTTACGAATCGAATTAATGCATTTCCAAGAAAAAGATAAATAAAAACACAAAGTATGTAAAAATAAAGGAAAGTAAAAAAAAAAGAAAAAAATAAAATAAACGATCGTGTAATATAAATTATTTTATTCATCACATTTCATTCACAAAGGAAGATAAAAAAAAAATTCGAAAGTGAAAAATACAAAATAGATCAATTTCTAAAAAAAAAAAAGGAAAATAAAAAATACTCTCAATTACAAATCTCATGTAACTCTTTCATACTTATTTTCAAAAGCACCCTCGCTCAAATACATCAGTAAGATTTTCATTTTAATAGACGAAAGAAAAAAAAAATTCAGGCAAATTGCATACTAACTTTAACTCATTCTCTCAATTATCTTATCTACTTTCTTCCACCGTCATTTAAAAGAAAGAAAGTCACGCGAATTTCAGTTATATAATTTCGTAAAAAATTTTCTCATCTTAATGTTTCGCAATATTTCTGTACTGAAAATAATTTTAACGTTATATTTATTATTATATTTTTTTACTCTTGTTTATACGTATTTTTTAACAAATTATATACCTTCGTTACATAAATATGATTTTATTTCGGGCAATGAATTGTTAATCAAATTGAAATAACTTTATAGATTATAACATTGGTTATGTCTACACATGAAACACATGAAACCTCTGAATTTTGAATGCCATGTTTACATTAAGCAAGTTTTGACCGTGAAACTTAATGTAAACACAGCCTTTAGTACATACACACTTTCGTGAAGCAAATAATTTTAAATTCCTCTAATTTTAAAGCTGCGTTTACATTTTAATTTTTTGATCGATTCGTTCAAAATTGAAATTAAATTTCAATTGAATAAACGCAACTTTGATATAAATAATTGTATAATAAAAATACAATAATGCTCACTTTAATATCCGCAGTATAAATTCTTATCCGACTTTTGTAAATTAAAAATCGAGCGAGAGAAGTAAAAGTGAGTGTAAGTTAAACGTCCAATCTGTTTAAATTAGATTGCGTCAAATTTTTTTTAGGTTAGATTTATCTCGTTTCAATCCGAAATTCAATTTCGATAATTTGCGAAATTCAAAATCGAACGAAAGAAAAGAAATAAGTTAAATAAGGATTTCCAGTTCGTTTAAGTTAGGTTAGATTTTACTTCAAGATTCTGTTTCTAAAAATTGATAAAAATAACAATGGACATTAAAGCGAGCACTTACTACAAGAAAAGAAAATCTACGACAAATGAAGATTTCTTGAAAATGGTAAAATAATCGTCGAATTTTGCCTCATTTCGAACGAAGAAACCCACGCAATAGAAAACGCAGGAGCTTCGACTGATCTCTCTTTCGCCGAAAGAAAAATTAATTAACTCGGCTCTTAACTGAGAACTCACGTAAGTCTGTTCTCGGCCGATGGAACTCTCTTACCTGAAACAAAAAAAAAGGCAGGATACGTATGTATCATCGTCGATTTTTCAATTGTTAAACGTGTGGTTTCGAAATCTTGTTCGTGAAATTATATTAATGTCTCTATTACACGGTGAACGGTTTCGATAAGAAACGAGTGAGTTGCACGTTGTATCGATTTTCCTATAAATGTGCATGTGCATAAAGGATTTATGGTTTCTGTCGCGAGTCAATGGAATAGCGGAGATATTTAGTAATATTTATGATTTGTTGTTTTTTTTAGAATTTATAGGAAGGAAAGGATATGTATGATCGAATAAATTGATATTAAAAGTTTTATTTCTCTAAATAATAATAATCACGAGAATTAAAGCTTTTCGTACAAGTTTTGTATAATAGTTTTAATATGAGGTAAAATTGAGGTTATAAATCTTTGAGATTCACTATTGAAATTTATATTACAAAATTTTAACAAAATGAAAATTTATATCAATCCTTCAAAAATACAATCTATCATCTCTTTTAATCATTATACAGCGAATATTTTCTTTATATCTAATAGAATATCTAAAAGAAAAGAATTACGACCGATTAATGAATTCTAATTTAATTTAATTAAATTCTAATTAACTTCTAATTTAAAACCTTGAGATTAATAAGATGTAGAAAAATAATGCATAATAAACTCAAGTTGCATATGTATAAATAGTAAAAAGAGAAATAACATAATCAATTAAATTGATACTGATCTTTTAAGACTTAAGAAATAAAAAATCTTCTGTTTCTTCTTTTTAAATTCTCGATGTTATTTAATTTAAATCCAATTACTCCTGCAATAAAGAATCATCTGTAAACTTAAAGTTACAAAGCATAAACGTAATCGTTACATTATCGTTCGATTCAGACGTAACAGCCTGAAAACCTGCTTCCGATCAAACTTGTAATTTCAAGAAGGAAAAGTTCCAGCAACACAGCTTCCGCACCGCTTTCTTACACGATGCACAAATTACACGGGGAGGCAGAAACAACGTTTCCTTCTTTCACCACTGTCTATCCACAAGAATCGTTTCGATGTTCTCTAATATTTATTTTGTCGTATTTCTCGACCATATTTCTTTTTCTACTTGATTCTCTCTCTCTCTCT